CTTAGGCGTTATAGCAAGAATTTGAAATATACTATTTCAAAGAAAAAAACTCCTAAGCCAAGAAAACGCAAGCGGCAAGCTAATGGAAACAGAAGAAACGCTGAGCAGCAACTAGGAATTAAATGAAGTGCTTCTCTAATGTGTGATATTGCTTAATGAGTCTTAATATAATTTATTGATACTAAAGTTAAGGTCTTAAATTAAATATTCCCTTTTTTCTCTCAAAATGAGCAGTTGAGCGGTTGAGTAGAAGAAAACAAGTTCAAAATTATTCAAAATGACTGAACAAATTGAGTTAAAATATTGACGATTGATGAAAGGTCAAACATCACTAGAAAATGAGCTTTCCGTATTTCACAGTCGCATAACTGAGAGTTTAGAGGGACCAATTTGGAAAACAAATATAAACGCCTTAATTGAATCTTGCAAGATTATTCTCGAAAAAGCATTAGCTAAGAATGATGAACTTGTGATATTAGCTAATAAAACCGATAAACCTACCAAATTATTAACTGAGTTGGCTGCATGGTGGGATAGGATAGTTAAAGTTAACGATGAAGTTACTGGTAAGACTCGCGCTCATATGGAATCTAATGAAGCTTCAGAGGTCTGCGTCACTGAAAAACTAGTCGATCAAAAGTTTCATCAAAATCGGCAAAATCCGGGTCGAGTAAGCAAAGCTCAATGAAATCATTGACCCCCAGTGAGCGCCGCAAAGAGCTGCTCCTAGCGAAGATTAAGCTAGAAGAGTTGGAAAAACAACATGAAGCAACCTTAAGACTGAAACAACAGGAAGCCATCATCGAAGAGCAACAGCATCTGATTGAGATGGAATGAAAACAACAAGAAATTAAATTTGAAATTGACCGTAAAGAGCAAGAACATCGTTTACGAATCGAAAAAAGTCGGCTTGAAATGGAACGATTAAGCGAAGAAAATCGTATTAAAGTAGCTGAAGCAAAAATGGTTGAAACTGATCACCTCGAAGAGTCTGAAATAGATCAGCATCTCGAGCTGGCGTCTTCGGTTGATCGTCATTCTGACAGGGTAAACGATTGGGTTGATCATGCATTAGAAAACCAAAAAGGGCCCGAGGTAGTTCCGTCTTCTTCAAAGTTTGAAACCTATATAAATTTAGAAAGTGGTTCGCATCAAAACAGAAATGTGTCCACAGCGGGAGCTTCACCTCGGCGCTCGTTGCCGAATCAGACTTTTGGTTGTGAACAACAATGTTATACCTATCAACCAACCGTCTCCTTCAGCGATGACGATCGATTCAACCACGTTGTATCCACTAATCCTGAACACGAAACGCAGTCATTGCTTATTTCAAATAACACTACACTTTGCGAAAACAATAATACGTCAATGTTTAATCCAGCTGTAACAGCAGCTACCAATACTCCGGTATGCTGTTACTTATCTGTACCTCATCCTTCACCTTCCATTCAACATATCCTCGTCAACAACTTTAATAACGATTCCCGAGTTGTTGGAAACATGTCCGCCATCTCCTATCAATACTCTGGATACACTCCCATGCCATTTTGTCATAACCATCTGCAAATTTAATCTGCAGAAACCAAAACTTGCTATCACATAACGTGTATAGCAACCCTGCTTCGGTGAACAACCCGTTCAGCGGACAGTCTGCCAATATTAGTCAGCCCAATTTGCCGCTAGTGTCACAGTGGACACCCGCAGTCACCCAATGTTTCACTGGGATAACAAGTGATGGTAACACAAACCCATCAGTTGGTGTTTCTTCATCCGTAACGCCAATATCTCAGCAACAATTCCCCCACGTATCAAGTGATGGTACCGGTTACTATGGGTTTCACAATCACAACGCATCGGCTGAAAACACTTACATATATCAGCAGCAAGCTTTTGCAGCTGATCATAGCAACACATTGCCGTCGTTGCAACCAGCTCCCCAACCACAAGCCGTGACACTGAAAGACTTAGTCCAAGCTCTGTCAGTCTCAAAGAAGGATCTCCTTCCAGAATTGAAGCTGGCCCAGTACGATGGCGACCCGCTCCAATGGCACGAATGGTTTGGCCAATTTTGCAGTACTGTGGACGCAGCGTCTCTAAGCGATGATGTGAAGTTTACTTATTTAAAATTATTAAGCACAGGAAAAGCTAAGTCAGCCATAGCAGAGTTCGCATGCAGTGGAAGAATGCATAAGGATGCTCTGAAAACTCTAGAAAGAAAGTTTGGCCAGCCACAAACCTTGATAAGTTGGCCAGTTTCCCGCAGCTTCGAATGCACAACACTGAGAACATCATTAGCTTCACGATGACCATTTCAAGTCTAGTGGCTGTCTTTAGGTCTCTTGATTATGAAGAAGATTTGAAAAGCGTCTCTTTGTTAAATCAAGCTCATTCGAAAATTCCACCAAACATGAAAGAATCGTGGTCACTTTTTGTCGTGAAACGTAATTGGTCACGCCCCAACCTAATTGACCTTAACAATTGGTTAAAAGATAAAGCAGAAGCTCATGAGCAAATGAAAAATATGCCTGGAAAGCCCAAAGTCGAAGAGCCATCCAAAATTAAAGCTGTAACGAGAGTTTTTGCCTCGACAAGTACAGTTGAGAAAAAGTTTGAATATCCTTCTTGTATCCTCTGCAAGGGGAAACATGCCTTGTGGAAGTATTCTGTGTTTAAGGAGAAAACTCCAACACAACGTGCGAAATTCTGTGCGGAAAACAAATTGAGCTTCTCCTGCTTACAAGGGAACCACGCATTCCGGCAATATCCCAGAGCAAAGAAATGCACCAAACCAGGTTGCACTAGCACCCATAGTGTACTTCTCTATGGAGCTGAACGTGTTTTTCCTAGTAAAAATCCGGACAAATATGATAGCCATACAAGACCCAACGCTGGTCAACCAAGATCTAATGCAGAGCCGGATAAAGCGAGCACAAACGCTGATCGGAAATCCTTCAGCAAGAATATACCAAACGCAAGTTAGAATCAAGCAGACGTTAATCCCGTTCTGTTGGATGTAAGTTGCGCAATCTCGAACGACCAATCATCAATCATAACATCGAAATGGTTGCTGCCCATAATCAAGCTCCAAGTTTCCACCGATTTCCAGAGTGCTGATTGTTTAACATTGTGTGACTCAGCATCAAGTCATTCCTGGATATCGGCTAAATTAGTCAAATGTCTGAATCTTTCAGGAAGAGATTTGGATCTCACAGTAAGTAGTATTAACACAACGACTGTTGTTAAAACGAAACAAGTTCAGATGAAGGTATCTTCTAACTTCGATGGTTTCGAATACATATTCGATTTAACCGCATTTGTCAAGGATGATACTAAAGTCGGTACCGATACCGTCAACATCCCTGCATTACAGAGCAAATATCCGTACCTTGCTCCAATCAAACCAATTGTGTTTAGCTACGCCGATTTAGACTTAATAATTGGTCAAGACATCTTCCATGCTATTCGGCCTGAGGATAATTTCAAGAGTGAGGCCGATCCAAACACATAGCCCGTCGCGGTTCGCCTTCCAATAGGCTGGGTCTTGAGCGGCTCAATGCCGACATCTACAGGTTTCCTTTCTACTTGTTTCAAGTGCAATACGGATGATACCGAACTAGCTTGTCAAATCAAACGCTGGTAGGAAATAGAGTCATACGGAGCCTGCAAACAGGTCGATTCCCGTTCAGCCGAGGACAAAAGGGCGGCCAAAATACTTGATTCCTCCAATGTCCATGATGGATCAAGATACGCTGTAGGTATGCTATGGGCAGTAGAATCTATCATGTTACCAGACAATTACTATTCCTCTTTGGTTCAGTTAAAATCGTTGAAAAAACATTTAGCGAAAGATCTTTACTTAAGGGATCAATACTCAAAAACTATCAAAGATGATTTGAGTAAAGGATACGTGATTCAAGTTCCTCCCCATAATTTTTCGAACCGCAGCATACACGAGTGGTATCTTCCTCACCATCCCGTGGTAAACCCAAACAAACCTGGTAAAGTGAGGCGTGTCCCTAACGGAGCGTCTAAATTCCACGGTACGTCATTGAACAAATCGTTGCTAGTAGAACCCGACCTACTGCAAAACCTTGTGTTCGTTCTCCTCCGTTTTCGTGTTTTCGTCAACATCATTTTGCCGTATCGGCTGACATTGAAGGGATGTTCCTACAAGTCGGCATCCTTCCAGAGGACCAACCACCTCTTCGTTTTCTGTTGCGGGAGGACCCCACAGCCGATGTGGTTGTACACCAGTACACCAGACATATCTTTGGAGCAAGAGACCCGTCAACGTGTGCAAATTATGCATTGCAACGGACTGCAATGGATAATCAGGCAATGTTCCCTGACGCAGCGTCCGCAGTTCTAGAGAAGTTTTATATGGACGACTACCTAGACTACTTTGAGTACCTGATGTCGCATTTAAAATGAGTCAAGAGTTGGTTACTCTGTTAGCTCTAGGTGGTTTTAAATTAACTAAGTTCATAAGTAACGTAACTAAAATTAAACCCCAAAGCGCGCCGCAACAGGAAAGTAAAAATATTGTAACTTGTGGGGACAATTCTTCTCATGTTCTTGGTCTGAAGTGGGACCATATCGACGACACTTTGGTCGTAAGCCGTGGTGTCAACCATGAACTTAAAAAATCGATTACACAGCAAACAGTGTTAAGTTTTGTTTCTTCCGTTTTCGACCCCTATACTGTAAGAGCGCGACTATTGTTGAAAAAAATCTGGCGCATTCATGGCCAACAATGGGATGATGAGCTATCCGTTGATATCAAGACAAAATTTCTTGCCTGGCACTCTGGTTTGCCATCTCTAGGGAAAATGAATATAAAGCGCAGCTACTTCTCCGCACCAGTCGATTGGGTTGAGTTACACATGTTCGGTGATAGCTCAGAAGAAGTTTTTTGTGCTGTAGCTTTTCTTCGCGCCCATGTGAAAACTTCACTCGAAACACAAGTTGCCCTGGTCTTTGGAAAAGCAAGAGTCGCGCCCATGAAAGCGCTTTCCATCCCGAAGCTTGAACTGCAGGCTGCGTTACTGGATACCCGCTTGAAGGAAGACGTCCTCAAAGCTCTAACCATTCCTGTGTCAAACACGTTCATCTGGACTGACAGCACCACTGTGCTCCAGTGGTTAAACTCAGGTAGTAAGCATCCCACGTTCGTGGCAAACCGGATTGGAGAGATTCTGGAAAATACGACCGTAGACCAGTGGTTTCATGTCTTAAGTGGAGACAACCCTGCTGATACGGAATCCCGAGGAATCTCAGCGGAGTCCTTAAAAACAAGCAGCTGGGTGAACGGGCCAAGTCTGCTGAAAAGTGGCAAGTGGCCTTTCAAGCCGAGCATAGAAATATTTTAGAAAATCCGCCTGCCTGGTCCCGCTTGTGACCTGAATGAAGGTTTACAGCAGGCCTCTAATTTTTCAAATGTTGCTCAAAAACAAAAACAACCCATTTTATTTGCATAGGAAGAATTCAGCTCGTTTCGTAAACTCCAGCGAGTCGTTGCCTTCATGCACAGACTTATTCCGAAACACCGGCACTACCGCACTAAAGTCAAGGAAATAACCGATCCGGTTGAATTAGAAACCGCAAAACAACGACTTTTGTTGATTTCCCAAAAGGAATCTTTTGAAGTGGAATAATTACTCCTGTCCTGCAACAAAACCGTCAAAAAGTCTAGTCGTATTGCACAATATGCACTGTTTATGGGTCCTACATTCCTCATTCGTTCAACTGGGCGAATTCGCCGCCTAGTTGAAACTGAATACGACACAAAACACCCCATAACCCTTGATGGAAGGCATTCTCTGGTGAAATTGTTCGTAAGTGATATTCATTATCGCTATCAGCACCAGTTCTTAGACTAACTGCGAGCTGTAATTCACTTAGAGTTCGCAATCTTGAACTTTCGCTCTTTATTAAAGTCTATTGAAGTCCACTGCCTTATATGTAGGAAGCGCAAAGCCAAAACTGTCACACATATGATGGGAGAGCTTCCAGTTGAAATGCTTGGTTACCGCCAGCCTCCCTTCACAAACTGTGGTGTTGACTACTTTGGACCCCTTAACGTCTCAATCAGGAGGAGTTCTGAAAAACGATGGTGCTTCCTTTTTACATGTATGACCACCAGAGCTGTACTCATTGAGATTGTCTCATCCATGGACACGAGTTCGTGTGTAATGGGAATCAAAAGATTCATTGCCCGTCGCGGCACTCCATCAGTCATTTGGTCTGATAGCGGCACCAATTTTGTGGTAGCTGAGAAAGAACTCTTAAATTGTATTCAGTCGTGGAACCGACAAGCACCCCCAGTGCTGGCAAAAAAGGGTATTAATTAGAAATTTAACCCCCCGGCAGCCCCGCATCACGGTGGTTCTCGTTCACGTCTCGTTCGGTGTTGTAAAAGGGTATTCTACGCAATAATTGGAAGTAGAAAGCTCACTCCCGAAGTCCTTGAAACAATTTTCTTTCTTGTAGAAAAATCACTGAACGCTCGACCTATAACATCAGTAAGTGTATGACCGGATGGTTTCGAGGTGTTAACTCCTTATCATTTTTTGTTGGGCCGAAATGGTACTAGCTTCCCTTTCCAGGAGCACTTCGACCATCGAAAGCAATATATCCGAGCGCAAAGCTACGCCAACGCAATTTGGAGTCGTTGACTGCGAGATTATGTGCCAGCGCTGAATAAACGCAGTAAGTGGCACTCCGATACTGACGTTATTTCGCGCTTAAACTAATGACGTCATTATAGCGCGAAAGTGAAAAAGCTAATATTAGATTTTCTTAGACAAAAGGCCTTGAAAACTACTGGTTTGTCCGATTAAGGTCAGTTTGCCATCAAAAATGTTTATAGATTTTTGAGATTGTTGGAAACAGTATTGCTAAAATGCTAACCGAAAATGTTACACTCATTGTTTTCAGATATTACTTACTCTTCATATTATCTGTTAAGTTGCCGATAATTTACAGATTTTGAAGCAGGTTTTTGTAGATCTTACAGGATACGAGAGTGCGGCACACGACGCTTCAAATAATAATATCGGCGCAACATTATTACAATCGCATAACCGAACGAATAAAATGAAGCTTACCTCAGCTAATTCAAGACTTTTAACACAAGCAGAACTTAGACTCTCTATATTTATGAGAGAATGAACAGCTATAATGTATACTCTCACAGAACTTTAATTTTTAATCCTTGGATCAAAACAACCAACAACTTTATTTACATATTATAAACATATAACTTTCTTCTTTACTCAAAATCAAACCCAAACCATTGAGTTTGTAGACTTCATTTAATTCTAATGAAATTTCCATAATAATTTCCACATATAGTCTAGACTGCAGGAATAAATCTTGCTTTACTAGATACACTCTGTCGAAACACACCGCCCGAACTAATAACAAGAAAAACGTCTGTGGAAACACCGCAAAAGAAAAAAATTTTCTTGCAAAAGATGAAACGTCACCACGATTCGAATGCAAAAATGCAGTAAAAACCAACCTTGAAATTGAGCAAACAAAAAAATTATGAAAAAAATTTTCCACTATATATAGATTGCCAAAACAACCAACACGATTATAAGAAAATTCTACACCATATTCATAATGGATCAAAAAATACATAACAAAACCAATTAAACAGAAAATGCTTAAGACAGACCCATTTCCTTTAATAAAAATGGAAAACTAAAGTGATAGAAAAAATTTATCGGGGCTTCGGAGGTAGACTCGAAATACAGATTAAATTGAGTTTGCAATGAACATGATCCTCTAGATAGTATACCACTGTCAAAAACAGAAACTGAAGAGCTTTTTCTACCAACCACAGAAAAAAAAACTTTAGATCTTTTACAGAAGCATCAACATCTAGACCCACTCACTAGACAACTTAACTCGTGGCTCAAGTAAAAAACAAAACATGTAAAAAAGATTTCACAATATTAGGAAACAAAACACTTCTTAGATACCTCCGAAAATTTAAAAATACAACCGTAAAATCGAATACCGATAATCTTGAATAACAAACACCTGAAGCAAAAGTACCTTTCTTCCTTTGAGCATGATACTCATGGCTTTTCATATTTCTCATGCTTCAGACACAAAAGGACATACAGGATCAGAAAAAACGTAATCAAAAATTAACAAAAAAATTACCTTCCAAATGCACCAATTTCAATTAAAATTTTTTTTTAACGAATGTATAACAAGACCATTGAAGAATCCATATCCACATCGGATCAAATAGCCTAAAAACAAGACTTTAAAGGACAAAATTTATGTCACAACCACAGAATCTCATTTGATACAAAAGGACCAATATCAAGATCCTCAGCAGTAAACTCATACATAACGGTTATAGTCGACGCGATTACACGCTACGTAGCGCTCAAACATGTACCTCATTGTAATGCTTATTATGCAAATACAACACTCTACAAACACTCGATTGCAAAATTTGGATTACCAGAAATTCTTGTAACAGATAACGGCACTGAATTCATACAGAAAGAAATCATAACTTTAGGCCATCTTTACAAAACCAAACATAAATCCCGAACATCTCATGCTTCATGGACTAATAGTTTAGTGGAAGGTATGCATCGTTCACTACAGAAATACCTCAGATTTTTATTAATTTGAAATGATACAAAGTATACAGAACAGTAAACAGACGTAAAATTTTTTCCCCTAGCCTACAACTTACAAATTACAACAAGACTAGAATTATCACAAACCAAGGAAACAAATATTTTTTACAGTAAAATCCTCTAAAAAAACACAAGGTTATGTTCAACTAGCCAGGAATCAGTTTGTTACAATCTATCACTACATACGCATGTTGAACATCATTTTCATCATCCACCATTCTTAAAATTAATCTCATACCGAAAAGATTTTGAACAGAGATAAAAAATTAATGAAATTTATCAGAAAATAGCTGAAATTTTATTAAAAAGACAGAATGTTCAAACTTTCAATCACAAATCAAAATCAAAATTACTTCAGCCACAATTTCAAAAATTGGAGGATACGTATTGATACCTATTTTTATAACACAAAAAGGAATATCTAAAAAACTGCAGCCAATCCGAAAAAGAAAATTCCAATTTTTGACAAAGCTACTAATGTAACATATGTAACATACCACTAATGTAAACTCAAAAAAAGTGGGCTCAAAAAAAGAAATAAATCAACGTCGAAATAACTTTCTCTCATGTTACCCAGGAGAACACGCTCTTCGCGAACTACACAATTATACTTCTTTATAGGACTCAAAATTGTCCATGACAACTGAGATGCAGAAAGTGAATAAAAACATAAATTAAATAATTTTTACAAAACTGAGATTGGAAAACTAAGCAACGACCGCCTCAACGACAATCATCACGCTTCCGAAATCAACTGCGAAAAGTTTACAAAACTTTTATCCCGTAGTCGAAAATAAGTTTGAGTTTTATAAACCCCTCTCAAGCAAAATAAACACTTTGATCACTTTAAAATTTAAAAAGTTTTTCTTCTGTCCGTTTTTCAAGCTACCACTCTCAAGCAACACGTTCAAGTTCAGCCAATCCAAAATTAGATCAAATTCACAACCACTTGACACCAGTTCATTAGCCGACACATTGCTTACTTCAAACATATCTGGAACTTCAACTAAGAGACATCCAGATCAAAAATAGGCAACATGTTCTTATTTGACAACTAAAAAAAAACTCAAATGTTATAATTCTCCCCTATCAACCAGTACAAAAATCATCAACATTGTCTCAACTTGCACTCAAAAGTTTTCTCAAAGATGAATATGCCTTAAGCAAAAATCAGGCATGGCCATTTAGCCTAAATTACAAATAATTACTGAATACCCCAAATCAACTCAATATTAAAAACAAAATTATGAATCTGTTTCCTAGACCTCCAAGCTCGCCTCAATCAAAAGCTGCCCATACACAACAATTAATCAAAAATCAGAGAACAATCCGACCAAATTCATTTTTCAACTCGGATGAAAATTCGACGAACCGAATCATTTCTAAAAATACTTCTTTCTCAATCAGTTCGACACCTCAAGACAATTATTTTCAAATTTTTTCAGTCTTTCCAGTATTTTTATCAATTTAATATATTTTTCATTGTAGACGCCGTCAAATTATTCCTTCTGCTCTCCAAAAGTTTTCCAATTTTCCAATTCCAATTTTCCATTCTCGTACCAAAGCCTACAACAATTTCTTAAAAACCTTTGACCACCTCCTCAGGTACAATATTTAAAAAGTTATCTCAATGTTAACACATTTAATTAACAGGAAAAGTAAACTTCTTCTTTCCATATTCTTTTTGATCTGTTTAATCT